GATATTATATACTTTCAGTGATGATAGTTAAAATGTATCAAAAAGAGAAATTCAGTGTTTATTAATAGACTGTCTGAAGTTGTTGAGTTTTCATTGATGAACATTAAAATAAAAAATAACAATAAACACACTATTTGAAGGTGGTGGGTTTACACTGAGTCTGTTGAATGGGTCTTTTGTCAGCATGTGAAAAAAAGAGCATCAAAAAGCAGAAGTATCAGTAGGGAGGTTTTTGTCACAGTGTAAATCACTGTGATACAGCAGCAGAGCTGTCCCATGTCTGACAGTAATAGACTGCAGAGTCTCCCTCCTCCACATTGTTGATGATCAAACGATAATCTGATCTTGACTGATGAGTGGATGTGAATTTTGGAGCAGAGAACCCAGAGCCATAGGTTGGAGAACTAGAGCTATGATAAAACCTCAGCACAAACTGAGGAACTCCACCTGGAATCTGTTTATACCACCGAGCAGCACTGCCAGTAACAGTCCCCAGGTTACAGTCCATGGTGGCTGTCTCTCCTTTCCTCACTGATAAAACAGGTTTCTGTGTCAGCACCGTCACACCACTCACACCTGCAAACAACAAGAAGATATGAAGTAATGAGAAACATATTGACATCAGTATACATTTGTGCAATATAAATCAAAGTGTTTACATGTTAGAGCAGAGATGAGAGCACAGAGAGTCACCAGCATCATGTCAGTGTGAAGTACGAACTGATTTGGAGAAAAGGTGCTGGAGAAGCCATTTAATAGAACTATCAGGAGGAGGAGCTGTTTCTCCTCCTCTCCTTTTTTTCTTTTGTCTTAATTTGTTTCTTTATTAGCAACATAATGTATATATTTTGATTGAAGTGTATAATCAGAATAATGAGAAAATAATACTAAGGCCTCCAGAAGCACAAAGGGAATAATACTTACATTAAAACAAAATGGGGGGAAAAGAACTAGGCATACAAATAGCAAAGGAGGATTGATCATCTATGTGGGTGACACACAAGCTCAACAAATTGAAGAGAACTTACTTGGGGAAAATTGAATTTGTGTGTTTCTTAGGCCTTAAAAGCAAGGAATGTGGGTGACAAAAGCAGGAAACAGTGTGGTCACATGGATGCCACCTACTCACAAAATCTTTGGGTAGGCAATAAAATTCAAATATACTGGGACAGTGCATGTCTAACACTAAGAAAAAAACTAGGCTGTGAAATCCCTGTAGATGCCTCGGTGCTGTATCTTGGAGTAATTAAAGTATTGCTCATTGTAGGTTGCAAAAAAAAAAATAGCACAACTGGTATATAAAGGGAAATTTTTATGAGAAGATAACTTTCTTGCAAATGTTTGAAGGAGACGCCTTTTCATAAAAGTGGAAGAAATGGATTGCCTTCATGTGTCATGGTCTAACAGTATTCAGCTGTCTCTGAATGATCAAATGATATGATCTGAAACATTTCCATTGAAAACAGCAGTTCCATTTTATTTTACAGAGAGCTGATACATCATTTACTTGAGGTTATAAATGAGTTACTAAGACCTGCAGGTGCATCCTGAAGAAACAGAAGCACAGAGAGGTGATGCTTCACTAACCGAGTGTGAAGATTCATTTGCAAGTTTACAACCAACATTTTAAACCAGTGACACTTGCCCTCTCTCATGCTCAGGAAGTAATGTTAAATGATGCTCTCTAGTGTTCAAATATTACATAGCGTGTATTTCAGAATATACTTATGTTTTTATTATGAGAAGAAGACATTTAAAAAGTGGTGTGCTTATGAGTGTTTTTTTTCTCCTATATGTGCCCCTCTCTAAAATTTAAGAGTTCATTTTAATCGTTTTAAATTTATGTTACTAACAAAACAGTGACACAATTTATTATTTATTGACAAGAAAAGACATTTATTTTAACCAATGCTTTTATTAATTTATTGCAAAACATGAATTCCTGAAAATACTTGTTAACAATCTGCAGATGAATACATGACTTAAACCTTTTGCTTTATTCTGATTTCTAACATGTAAAGACTGTAATGAGCAAACAGCACAAGCAGTAAAGAAGCAGATTTTAAATGCACATTCTGATC